CATGCCTATGCAACAGCTTATATTCGTACTGGTTATATGTGGAGTGGCCGTTGTTCTGTATGAAATGTGTTTGACCTCAGGTAAATAAATCACAAGAAAGATAAATCTATGTGAAACATATGTTCAAACTACATTTTCTGATTGGTGATACTTTGAAGTTGATTCAGAAACAATGCAGAGCAGAACTAGCTCTTAAGATTTTGAAGATTTACCTGATTAACTGTTATAATTTTGTTTTTATGTTGGTTTCAAGATAACAAAAAAAGACTAAGCTCATGATGGCAGAACATTCTGCGGTACGTGGTGCTATGAAAGCATTAGTGTCATTGGCGAGTAGGTCTGATATCTGCTTGAGGAATTCTAGAGGTCGTGGGGTTGGAACAGCTCTCATTACTAAATGCAATGCTAATGAAGAGCAGTCCGGTGCGTTATGTTATCCAAAGTGTAGTGAAGGTTATAAAGCAATACGATGCTGTCTTTGTCGCAAGAATGAATGTCCTCCTGAATACACTGACGATGGAATAGCTGCATGCATAAAACCAAAAGCCTGTGGTAGAGGCACTGGATATGGTTGGAAATTTAGTGATGGATTCAATAGTTGTGGAATGTTCAAACGCTGTGAGGCAGATCATGATGCTGGAAATTGTAAACAATCAGGTGCAGTTGTGTATCCAAAATGCAAATCTGGATTTCAGCCTATTGGATGTTGTATCTGTAGCCCTAGTTGTCCTGACGGAATGACTGACCTTGGAATCTCATGTACAAAGTTGGTCTACAGTCTGTAATATCCAAAAAATAAACAATCAGATGTAAGCTTATGTTATAAAAAGTGTCCTAATGGTTGGAATGGTAAGGATCCAGTGTGTTGAAAAAATTGTCCGAGTGGCACTCCATGGGAGTGTGGTTTCGTGTGCACAGAGGATCAAGTAACATGTGCTCGATGCATTACATCGACTCTTGCAGCTGGTTTAAAAATCGTTGATTCTGCCTGGCAAGCATGAAATCCGGTTATGCTTCCAATCACAGTTATAAAATCTATTGCTGATCTTGGAAAAGCTCTCAGTCCGGCATATTCGAGAAAGTATTAAAAATTTGCATCACTGTTTTGTAACTAATGAAAATTATTCTTGCTGCAAGTATAAAGCATAGAATGTGATTGTAATCTTTAATATTTCTTTCGTAGAATTCAGCGAAATTTCGAAAAAGCTCTCCTTAACATTAACTAAAACATTAATTTATCATTATTTATTTTCGCTTTCTTAATCTTATTTGTTGTTCATTCGCTTAGTTGTCTTATCTATTTATTCAATATCTATTATTCGTTCATCTTTTTGCTGCGTTTCTTAATGTCTTCATTTTTTTCTTACACCAATAAAAAAACATTAGAAGTTATTTAAAATTACGGGACTCTTATATATTACTAGTTATTTTTGTTTCATTATTCGTATTCTTGTGTATTACTGATTCGTTGACTTTTCTTTTTTTATTCAAACAATGCCACACTACACACCGATATCGACACCGACACTCTGACATCCCACCCACATTCACAGATAATAATATAATTTATTTGTGATCTTTTAGATCATTTAGAATAGTTATGAGGTCGAAACCATTTGAAGACACCCTTAACTAGGATCAAAAGACGCTATGGTGCGGACAATCATTCATGCCCATACCCATACTCTCTAGTTTGAACTGCCTCAGAAGAGGAAATTTTCTATGCCGACATGGCGTAACACCCAAGAATTTCCTCAATTCAACATTGAAAAGTTGCTACAACCATCACTATCTAGTATTAATAAATCCCATTTGAGGCGCTTTCCATTTCGGTATAAAATTTGTTGCTGGTGCTATTTAAAAGTGCAGCGTTACTTCACTGAAAAAAATATTATTTCCAATCAAATATGTGTCGATAATGAACAGTAAAATGTTAGCTACGCTACTTACTGTTAGTACGTAGGAATTATAAACGAAGAAAGCATATCCTACTACTAATAATTGAAGTCAAGGTAACGGGAAGTGTAATAGCCTAAGCGAGATTACTTCTAATTGTGAGTTTTTATCATGATTTTAAACACTTCTCTCACTGAATGATCTCAACAAGATCTCATTAGTACGAAAAATCAGTAGAATACATATTGTTCTTTGATAATATTTGATACGGACGAAAAGCAAGGTTTTCTTTCATTTCTCACGATCATATCATCACAATCTGATATGTTGAACAAAAATAAATTTTTAATATATCTCTTATTAAATATCTTTTGAGAATCTGACTATCAGCAACATATCTTATATTCACTTTTTCAAAGAAGATTATAATATCATTTTTTTTAAACATCAATTTATTTTACTGCACATTTATGAAATTTAACACTAGTTTGATTGTATACTGTAGATTACATTAAGGACTAAACGGATAATAATGACCTGCAAATACTTCGAGGCTTGGTGAAAATTATTGCTAATATTTATATATGTTAAAATATCATATTGACTATATGGATCATTCCTTTTCTCTTGACTAATATGATGCCAACAATCTTTTTTTTTCAGTCTCTTTTAAAAATATAATTATTTATGAGTGATAAACATGAGCAACGAAGAAAATTGAGTTAATATATTTTCTTATTGTTTATAATTTTGAAAAAAAAAAGACAGCCAAGCTTAATTGTGCCATTAAGTTTCAACAATTCGTCATTTCTTATGTTATCTCCTTCCCTCTTCACCAGATGAAAACATACTTTATCATTCTTCTGTAATTAAAGCCGTAGCCTTCAAACTGCGAACAAAAATTAAGCCAATTAAGAAAAAAGTGTTCACAATTTGGAACGCAAAAATAACGTTGCTCTTATTTTTATTGCGTTTCCAAATTGCGAACACTTTGATTAATTAGTTATTGCAATAGCTGATTATGAGTTCAATTTCATTAATAATATAAATATAGAAGTTTGAGAATAAGAATGGTATCATTTCTTTTTATTTGATAAGTCAACACAAATTTGCTATTTGAATATATAATGATAAATGAGAATAATGATGAACGAAAATAAA